TTTTAAGAGCGGAGCTAATACTCAAGAAGCCTTTAATAAAAAGGCCGTGCGTGACCGACTTCAAGCAGTTGTCCCTTCGATTCTGCGGTCACGCACCCAGGTCTCTAAAACCAACACTATATACCTTCCTTCTCAGATCCCTCAAGAAACAACCTTCCACGGTGTGGGCTGCCGCGAAGTGACAACCGCCCTCCTACCCGTCACAGCACACGAGACAAAATTGGTCGAAATCAAATCATTCTCATACCCTGTAATATCTCTCTTATCCCTACGACTAGCTCTAGTCGCATTCCTTCAGCTCGCTGAACCGCTAATGCAAACGATTCGAGTTCATGAAAAGTTACTCCTGGTCTCTTGAAACCCCGCTCTAGACTAAATGTTAGAGCTTTTAATGTAGGGACATTGTGTCAAATGGGGCAACAAGCCTCATTAGCTAGGACATTAGAATCTCGCTCAATCGATGTGTGCTGCGTCTCGGAAACGCGCATGCAGGATCCTAGTAAAATTATTAATCTGATTTCACCTTATCAAAATAAAGGAGCAGCCCGATTTATTCTTCGTGTATCCGGTAGTCCTGATGATGCTTCCAGCGGTCTCGTTGTCGTAGGTATAGCATTGATTTGTAGGGCAGAACTATCTCTCCTAGACTGGATCCCAGTAGATAGTTGTCTGTGCGCTGCCCGACTCGGAAAGATAGGGAAACTAGCCATTGCCTCTTCGTCGTATCTGCCTATGCCCCTACTGACTGCAGCTCGGACGGGATAAAGGATGAGTTTCATAGAAAGCACCTAACTTTCTTCCAACCTACTCCCACACCACAAAACATAGCTCTTCGAGGCAGTCGGTAGTTAGGCATACGCAGCACATGTCCCAACCACCTCAACTGATGAAGTTTCAATGCTTCATCTATTGATTTGTAATCCCTACCTAGAGCTCGTTTCCTAACGACAGCATTGCTTATACGGTTGTCCCATGATACACGAGAAATGCTTCAGAGACATCGATGATCGAAGACTAGTAACCTACGGAAGTCCTATACTCTTAACGGCCAAGTCTCGCATCCGTACAGTAGGACGGATCGAACTGCTGCACAGTACACTCGTCCTTTAGTCAGCAAACAGACATCTCACCTGCGCTATAAGTGACGCGGGTTGGCAAAAGCCAATCGAGCCTTCTGTATCCGCGCTGAGATTTCGTCAGTCACCATGCCATCAGCACTGATGACACTGCCCAAATAAGTGAAGCGGTCTACACGCTTGACTACTTCACTCCCTATCAATAGTTCAGGTGCCGATGCAACCCAATCTTGAAGCAACATTTTGTATTTGGAGGGTGAGAACCGCATCCCGAACATGTTTGCATTGTTGCTTAGGGTAGTCAGAAGACTGCATTTCGTCAGCATCTTCACCAAGGGTGCTATGACATCGGCGTATGCTAGGTCGAAAAGCGAGCCTCCTGGTAAAAGGTCCACTCCTGAAAATTCAGATGAAGATACGGTTATATCTAGCAGCATGTCTATGACAAAATCGAACAAGAATGGAGAGAGTGGACATCCCTGACGGACACCACTTGACGTAGAGAATTCCGATGACAGTTCGTCATTAGCTCTAACTCGACCAGTGCGATTCGAGTAGAGAGCTTGTATAAGGTTAATGTAATTCTTTGGTACACCTTTCAATGACAGACACTGCCACAGAACCTCACGATCCATTGAGTCAAATGCCGCTTTTAGGTCCTGGAACACGACTATTGTCGGACGTCTAAATGTGTGTCTGTGTTCCAGGACCTGTCGTAGTGTGAAAATGTGGTCTATACAGTCACGTCCAGGTTTGGAACCAGCCTGGTTTTCCCTAGTCTGCTCTTCACGAGCACTAGTAAGGCGTCTAGGTATAATGGAGGCTAACAATTTAGAAACTATATTAGTTAGACTGATTCCCGTGTGATTGTCACAAGAAGACTTTTGTCCTTTCTTATAGATTGGGACAGTCAGGGATTCAGACCAGTTAGATGGGAGAACGTCCAGTTCCCGGATTCTGCCTAAGATCTCAGTCAACCTAGCTGCTAAAACTGGACCACTATCCTTTAATATTTCACGAGTCAATCTAGCAGGACCCGCTGTTCTCCCTTGCTTCCGATTTCCTATCGCTTTCTCAACTTCATAAAGAGTCGGAGGATTTAAATGGATATGCCACTCAGGATAACTGGAGATTGTGGGCAACCGAAGTGTGGCTGAAGGCCAGTTGCACTGCTGCCTGAAGTGTTCTGCCCGTCGGTCCAGTCTCCTGGATTGAGAATCGATAATAAGACCATCCTTTTCTGAGATAGTTTCACTCAGATTCGGGTTCCTAATACCGGTTTCCTTGATGAGTCTGAATAGTTGCCTATCACCACTGCCTTCTCCATCGCTGTTGCTTTCGCCACCCATCACTGTTCTCAATTATTGCATGTTCTCTTTATCAGCCTAAACTGACTCTACTCCTCATCGTACGCAGAGCCATGTCGAATGAGTTTTCGAGCATTCATCGGTTTGGTAGATGCCAATGAGATCCACGCCTTCTTCCTAGACATATGATTTACCTTAGAAGCAGATATCACTGCTATTTCCACAGTCTTTTTGATCTCATTCTAAGCTGCCTCCTAATGGGAGTCGCTTACATGGTCGCCTAACTGTTTTTCCAGTTGTTCCTGAAATATTTTCTTAGCTTGATTATCATTAAGTAGAACCCTAAGAGGTTTCCTCGTGATGTCTTTCCTACGTCCAGTAAGCCTCAAACAAATACGCACTTGCACTAGAGCATGATCTGAATCTAAACATGTGCCCCAGAACGAGCGACAGTCCTAAATCGAACCTCTCCATCGATGGCTGATGGCAATGTGATCTAGTTGGGTCCGGCGTTGATATGACATTGGGGGTCGTCATGTCAATAGATATTTTTCCTTATACTTGAAGTATTTGCTAGAAACAGGCGGTTGTCTGAGCATGGGTGCATCAGCAGGCGGTCGGCGTTGTCTGTTCTCTGAGCCGCGACACCATAACAACCTAGGTGTCTTTCATTTTCACTTAGTCTACCTACTTGAGCATTAAAGTCACCAGCCATTATTACTACATCGGGGCGACTAGCTTTTTGGAGGAGGTCCGAAAGCTTTCTGTAAAACTCATCCTTTACCCCCCATCAGCACAGAGATGCAACTGTCAGTTCAAATCGAAGAGTAATAGCAATAATAGAAGTATTAGCAGTAATTGAGAAGATTAGGGAGCGAAGATATGATTATACTTCTCGAATCATATCTTCGCTCCCTAATCTTCTCAATTACTGCTAATACTTCTATTATTGCTATTACTGTTGGATTTGAACTGACAGTTGTGTCTCTGTGCTGATGGGGGATGGCAACCTGAACTGATGTACTTACGTACGAAGTTCTGCGTTGTATGTGTCTGTCATCCTTTATCCCGTACGAGCTGCAGTCAGTGTGAGTTTTGGGTGAGAACGAAGAGGCGATGGCTAGTTTCTCTATCTAGACGACTCCTTTCTGTCCCATTTAGTCGGATAGTGCATAAGCGATCGTCTACTGGGATCGAGTCTAAGAGAGCTAGTTCTGCCCTAGGACTCAATGCAATACTTATACGAACTAGTCCACTGGTAGTAGTAGTAGTAGTTGGGTCTCCGGACACATGAAGCGCGAATCGCGACGGTTCTCTATGTTGACTAGATTATGTTGAATGTACGTTTTTATTCGGATCCTGTATGCGCGTTTCGGAGACGCAGCATACTTCGATGGCACGAAATTCTAGGGTCCTAGGTAATGAAACATGTTGCATTATTTGATACGAGATTCAAACATTAAAAGCTCGAACATGTAGTTTAGGGCGTAATTTCGGGAGACTAGGAATGACGTTTCGTGAACTCGAAACGTTTGTGTCAGTGGCGCCAGATGATAAGGGAATGTGAAGTTTTGTTAAGGTTGTAAGAGAGTTATAAAGAGGTGTATGGAGGATCTGATTGTTACCGATTTGATTTTGTGTGCTTTTACGGGTATGAGGTTGAATGTCATTTCCCTGCCGTATACACCGTCGAAGGTTGTTCCTTGAGGAACATGAAGCGGAAGTTAGAATAATGTTGATCTCAGAGACCAGGGAGCTTGACCGCAGAGCACGAAGGAACAGCTGCTTGAGGACGGTCGCGCGGCCTCGTTACGGGGGGTTTTAAAATGTTAGCTCGACTCTTTTAAAAAAGCCATATTACCGAAGAGGGAAGTCCGTGAGGGGAGGTAAGGTGTGGCAATTTTAGGGTCGACCTTTCCCAAACCCCTCCTTTGTGAGAAGGCAGTATCATTGCAGATGCTGGTTGTCCGAGGGAAACACCCTACTGCTGTCACACCCCTCTACGGTCAGCAGTACGACTTCGCCCTCAGACCTCGAGTTACTGCTTTTAGTCTTACCGTTCTGCAATCGACCTGCCTGCTATGGCAGGACCTAAAGGAACGTATATTCCGGCTGATATAGCTCGGTTTGGTCATCACGGTAGGCAAGCCCGGCCATCACGTCAAAGTAACAGCTACGGTTGAGATTCTCTGGCGTGATATGTAACTAGTCTATCCCCCAGCAATATGTTTAAATTCATTCGCGAACTATCACTTTGAATATCACTATCACTATATCTCCTCTCCTACAATTGCTTTGATAATTCGCTCAACACTATTCATCACTTTCCTACTCCATTTCATTTCGTTGACGAAAGGTGTATCACTCTTAGTCTTAAACATGTAAAATACAGTTTGTGCATTTTATGTGTTAAAACTACGAAACGAATCGTACTTTTTTGATTTTAGTAATTGCTAAAATCAAGTCAATGTACAAAGATTGTCAATCAATAATGAGGCTTGATTTGGGCAATATAATTTTCATCGAAATACTTTTGGTGGTTTTTTTACATTTCGGCTAAAAATTAGTTGTTTTGGCTTACAGGATTATTTACTACTTTATTCTATTTTAATGAGGAATGGCAATATATGACCCAAGAGAGGTTTGCTTGGGCATGGCTAATTCAATGGTTTAGGAGGAAGCTCTAGTGTTAAGATCGATTTTCGATGAGGAAGAATTGACGATATCGAGCAACCATACTTTGGAATACAGGGTGAGTTTTAATTTTTGAAAAATATGCATTATTTAGGTGGGTGAGCAAGGAACGACTTCATCATTCATTGTACAAGTCCATTGGCCAGCAGGATATCCTGACGTTTTGCCTTGTATCTCTATGGATTCTTTTTATAATCATCACGTCCCTTCGCATATTAAAGAAAAAATTACTGATGAATTATTGTCTGTTGCTAAAGAACAGCTAGGCTCAGCTCTGACATTTACCTTAATTGAATATCTGAAGGAAAATCATGAGCGATTTGCTAAATCTTTTGCCATTGACAAAGTAGATAAATCACAAAGCAATTCGATATCCTGTGAAACTTCTTCGGTATGCATGACTTGTAATTTTCTAATACATTATTTATTTAGGTTTCTTGCAAACAGAATAAACTACCTCAGTTATCCAAAACGCAAAAGAGAAAGCACTTGGATCGACTAGGACAAGATGGAGAGTTACCTCGAGGTTGGAACTGGGTCAGTGTTATCAAACACCTTCAACAATCTGGATCAGCATAACAAAAACGCGTCTAGTTGTATTTCTTTGCACACAAGATAAGATTTCATATGCTTCGACGTTTCACATAGTTCAGAGGGGCTATAAATTTCTACTCAATGTATTTTATTATTTAAAAATAATTTTGATGATAGTTTAAGGTATTTTCTCCTAAAAGGTGCGAGAAACGTAAGTAAAAGTTGTAGTGAAGTTATTGTACAAACTAAAAAAGATGAGATCGGTCTTGAGCTTGAAATAATGGATATCCGACATCAATTCATTTGTCGGGGACCCCTCAACTTCATATCTTACCCCCTCTAACTGACTAGTATCGACCACCTCTGGTCGCCATAGCTTCATGTGACTGTCTTAAATCTCATCCTAATCTTCTTTTGTCATTTATGAGAGGGCTATATGGTGTATACGATATAGAATGTGTATGCTAGTCTAGGATCTACAGGCTTAATGATACATATGTGCAGCTGACCTAGCCTCGATTTTCCATCACGAGAAACCGGCACTCGATGCTGTGATTGATGCTTAACACCCTAACGTTTCACATCTAAGTGTGCACTCATTCTCTAGGTTTCCCCTAAAACTCAGCACGCAAAAATCGGTGATGACAGTAAGTTTCAGAGTCGCCTCACTAGTTAGTCAGTTGTAAGAGTACAAATCCCCAAGTTTTTGAAATAGTTAAGACCGATCGATTCACTTTCTACGTAATTGTGCTCACGTATATTGTTTTTGATTTTCCTTCTGCACTCATTCGTTATGACAATATCACATTTTACGGGTGCTGCATATAGATGTAGGTAGGTGGTTTAGACCCTCAGTTTCTAAATAGTGGGTCTGCAATACTAGATCTGTTGATATGATTGACACCAATTATGCATATATTACTTCTCGTGAACTATATCATAGCAAGCGTAGTATTTCGTGTCTTCGTAAAGTGTGTTTGGTCAACTGTCGACAAGTGCTAAGATTCGCAACCTCTGCTAACTTGTTGGTATTATCGCGGTACACAGTGCAACTACCACCGACAAAAACCCATTAATTAAGCTGCGATCTCCAAGTCTTGATATAATATTCCATCTGTACGTTTCCTTTTATCGATTCCAGACTTTGCTTACAGAAAGCCAAACGCACCTAGCAGACACACATGATACCATGGAGAAGTTTACCTTCTCAGTATATATTACGATTCATTCAACCTCACATCACCAGGGTACCTTATGTCTTTACCACCCCGATATAGCTGCTGACAGCAATTACAAAAAAGGCGTTTATCAAACGTACGGAATTGGGGGATCTAAATGCATCACAAATGAGTGTTCATAAATTATTGAGGCTATTGGTTGTCAGTCAGATGCAACGTAGAACTTCGTACGTAAGTACATCAGTTTATGTTGCCATACCACATTAGCACGGAGACGCAATTGTCAATTCAAATCCCATAGTGGTAGAGGTAGTAGGAGTACTACTGGTAATAGAGAGGAATTACTAGCAGCAATGCAGAAGATTAGGGAGCAAAGATATGATTCGAGAAGTATTATTCAGTGAGATAAGTTTAGAAGAAGAAAGATAGAGATTATCAGGAATTCAGAAGGTTGCAACTAAAAAGCACACAAAGAGTGGATGCACCTGCGCCATTGCAAACGATTCTGAGCCATGTCATTCAAGGTCTCTAACCATTGGTGACTTTCGTCTCGCGGACCACAGCCAGGTAGTCTACATCTACCAACATGACTCAGTCCGCTTGTCAGTGACCTCATGGATTTCTGCCATGTTTAGGTCTGGCCACAACTAACTTTATTCCAACCTACTCCCACACCACAAAACATAGCTCTTCGAGGCAGTCGGTGGTTAGGCATACGCAGCACATGTCCCAACCACCTCAACTGATGAAGTTTCAATGCTTCATCTATTGATTTGTAATCCCTACCTAGAACTCGTTTCCTAACGACAGCATTGCTTATACGGTTGTCCCATGATACACGAGAAATGCTTCAGAGACATCGATGATCGAAGACTAGTAACCTACGGAAGTCCTATACTCTTAACGGCCAAGTCTCGCATCCGTACAGTAGGACGGATCGAACTGCTGCACAGTACACTCGTCCTTTAGTCAGCAAACAGACATCTCACCTGCGCTATAAGTGACGCGGGTTGGCAAAAGCCAATCGAGCCTTCTGTATCCGCGCTGAGATTTCGTCAGTCACCATGCCATCAGCACTGATGACACTGCCCAAATAAGTGAAGCGGTCTACACGCTTGACTACTTCACTCCCTATCAATAGTTCAGGTGCCGATGCAACCCAATCTTGAAGCAACATTTTGTATTTGGAGGGTGAGAACCGCATCCCGAACATGTTTGCATTGTTGCTTAGGGTAGTCAGAAGACTGCATTTCGTCAGCATCTTCACCAAGGGTGCTATGACATCGGCGTATGCTAGGTCGAAAAGCGAGCCTCCTGGTAAAAGGTCCACTCCTGAAAATTCAGATGAAGATACGGTTATATCTAGCAGCATGTCTATGACAAAATCGAACAAGAATGGAGAGAGTGGACATCCCTGACGGACACCACTTGACGTAGAGAATTCCGATGACAGTTCGTCATTAGCTCTAACTCGACCAGTGCGATTCGAGTAGAGAGCTTGTATAAGGTTAATGTAATTCTTTGGTACACCTTTCAATGACAGACACTGCCACAGAACCTCACGATCCATTGAGTCAAATGCCGCTTTTAGGTCCTGGAACACGACTATTGTCGGACGTCTAAATGTGTGTCTGTGTTCCAGGACCTGTCGTAGTGTGAAAATGTGGTCTATACAGTCACGTCCAGGTTTGGAACCAGCCTGGTTTTCCCTAGTCTGCTCTTCACGAGCACTAGTAAGGCGTCTAGGTATAATGGAGGCTAACAATTTAGAAACTATATTAGTTAGACTGATTCCCGTGTGATTGTCACAAGAAGACTTTTGTCCTTTCTTATAGATTGGGACAGTCAGGGATTCAGACCAGTTAGATGGGAGAAACGTCCAGTTCCCGGATTCTGCCTAAGATCTCAGTCAACCTAGCTGCTAAAACTGGACCACTATCCTTTAATATTTCACGAGTCAATCTAGCAGGACCCGCTGTTCTCCCTTGCTTCCGATTTCCTATCGCTTTCTCAACTTCATAAAGAGTCGGAGGATTTAAATGGATATGCCACTCAGGATAACTGGAGATTGTGGGCAACCGAAGTGTGGCTGAAGGCCAGTTGCACTGCTGCCTGAAGTGTTCTGCCCGTCGGTCCAGTCTCCTGGATTGAGAATCGATAATAAGACCATCCTTTTCTGAGATAGTTTCACTCAGATTCGGGTTCCTAATACCGGTTTCCTTGATGAGTCTGAATAGTTGCCTATCACCACTGCCTTCTCCATCGCTGTTGCTTTCGCCACCCATCACTGTTCTCAATTATTGCATGTTCTCTTTATCAGCCTAAACTGACTCTACTCCTCATCGTACGCAGAGCCATGTCGAATGAGTTTTCGAGCATTCATCGGTTTGGTAGATGCCAATGAGATCCACGCCTTCTTCCTAGACATATGATTTACCTTAGAAGCAGATATCACTGCTATTTCCACAGTCTTTTTGATCTCATTCTAAGCTGCCTCCTAATGGGAGTCGCTTACATGGTCGCCTAACTGTTTTTCCAGTTGTTCCTGAAATATTTTCTTAGCTTGATTATCATTAAGTAGAACCCTAAGAGGTTTCCTCGTGATGTCTTTCCTACGTCCAGTAAGCCTCAAACAAATACGCACTTGCACTAGAGCATGATCTGAATCTAAACATGTGCCTCAGAACGAGCGACAGTCCTAAATCGAACCTCTCCATCGATGGCTGATGGCAATGTGATCTAGTTGGGTCCGGCGTTGATATGACATTGGGGGTCGTCATGTCAATAGATATTTTTCCTTATACTTGAAGTATTTGCTAGAAACAGGCGGTTGTCTGAGCATGGGTGCATCAGCAGGCGGTCGGCGTTGTCTGTTCTCTGAGCCGCGACACCATAACAACCTAGGTGTCTTTCATTTTCACTTAGTCTACCTACTTGAGCATTAAAGTCACCAGCCATTATTACTACATCGGGGCGACTAGCTTTTTGGAGGAGGTCCGAAAGCTTACTGTAGAACTCATCTTTAACCTCGTCTGAACTGCAGTCAGTGGGGGCATAGGCAGATATGACGAATAGGCAACGGCAAGTATCCCTATCTTTTTGAGTCCTTACCCTAGCGTTCAGTCCGACAGCGCACAGACAACTATCTACTGGGATCCAGTCTAGGAGAGATAGTTCTGCCCTACAAATCAATGCTATACCTACGACAACGAGACCGCTGGAAGCATCATCAGGACTACCGGATACACGAAGAATAAATCGGGCTGCTCCTTTATTTTGATAAGGTGAAATCAGATTAATAATTTTACTAGGATCCTGCATGCGCGTTTCCGAGACGCAGCACACATCGATTGAGCGAGATTCTAATGTCCTAGCTAATGAGGCTTGTTGCCCCATTTGACACAATGTCCCTACATTAAAAGCTCTAACATTTAGTCTAGAGCGGGGTTTCAAGAGACCAGGAGTAACTTTTCATGAACTCGAATCGTTTGCATTAGCGGTTCAGCGAGCTGAAGGAATGCGACTAGAGCTAGTCGTAGGGATAAGAGAGATATTACAGGGTATGAGAATGATTTGATTTCGACCAATTTTGTCTCGTGTGCTGTGACGGGTGTGAGGGCGGTTGTCACTTCCCGGCACCCGACCGAAGCTGCTACCCTGACGTGGTGGTCGGGCTTGCCTATCGTGATGACCCAACCGAGCTATACTGGCTGGAACATATGTTTTTGAAGGTTCTACCACGCCAGGCAGGTCGATTGGAGAACGATGAGACTAAAAGCAGCCATTCAAGGTCTGAGGGCGAAGTCGTAATGCTGACTGCAGAGGGCTGTGACAGCAGTAAGGTGTTTCCCTCGGACAACCAGCATCTGCGGCGATGCTGCCTTCTCACAAGGAAGGAAGGGTTAGAAAAGGTCGGCCCTAAAAATGTCACACCTCACGCTACCTCACGGATTTCCGTCTCCCTGAGTAAGGGTGCCCACTAAGGGCTTTTAAGAACGGAGCTAATACTCTAAATACCTTTCATAAAAAGGCCGTGCGTGACCGGCCTCAAGCAGTTGTCCCTTGGGCTCTGCGGTCACGCACCAACACTAATCCATCTTCCTTTTCAGGTCCCTCAAGAAACAACCTTCCACGGTGTGGGCAGCCGGGAAGTGACTACCGCCCTCATACCCGTAACAGCACGCGAGACCAAATTGGTCAAAATCAAATCCTTCCTACACCCCCTAATGTCTCTCTTATCACTACGACTAACTCTACTCACACTTCCTTTTCTCACTGCACCGCTAATGCAGACGAAGCGAGATCACGAAACGTCGTTCATGGTCTCCTGAAACCCCGTTCTAGACTACATGTTGGAGCTTTCATGTCCGGACATTGTGTCAAATAGGGCAACAGGCATCATTAGCTGGGACTTTAGAAACTCGTGCCATCGATGTATGCTGTGTCTCGGAAACGCGCATACAGGATCCTAGTAAAGTCATTAACCTGATTCCACCTTGTCAAAACGAAGAAGCAGCCCGATTCACTCTTCGTGTATCCGGTAGCCCTGATGCTGCTTTCAGGGGTCTTGCTGGCGTAGGCATAGCGTTGAGTCCTAGGGCAGAATTATCTCTCCTAGACTGGATCCCAGTAGATAGTCGTTTGTGCGCTGTCCGACTAAACGGGACAGTAAGGACTCGGAAGGATAGGGACACTCGCCGTTGCCACTTCGTCATATCTGCCTATGCCCCCACTGACTGCAGTTCAGACGAGGTTAAAGATGAGTTTTACAGAAAGCTTTCGGACCTCCTCCAAAAAGCTAGGCGCTCTGATATAGTAATAATGGCTGGTGACTTTAATGCTCAAGTAGGTAGACTAGGTGAAAAGGAAAGACATCTTGGGGATGTTAGGGTGTAGCGACTGAGAGAACAGACAATGGCGACCGTCTGTTGCAACTATGCTCAGATAACCGCCTATTCTTAGCGAACACCAACTTTAGGCATAAGGAAAAGCACCTGTTGACCTGGCGACCCTCGAAGTCGTCTCAACGTTGCACACAACTAGATCACATCGCCATCAGCCATCGATGGAGAGGTTCGATTTAGGACCGTCGCTCGCTCTGGGGCACATGTTTAGATTCAGATCATGCTCTAGTGCAAGTGCGTATTTGTTTGAGGCTTACTGGACGTAGGAAAGACACCGTAAGAAAGCCTCTTAAGGTTTTACTTAATGATAATCAAACCAAGAAAATATTTCAGGAGCAACTAGAAAGAGAGTTAAGCAACCATGCAAGCGATTCCCATCCAGAAGCAGGTTGGTATGATATCAAAAAGGCTGTGGAAACAGCAGTGATATCTGCTAGTAAGGTTGAGCATGAGGCTAGAATGAAATCGTGGATCTCAGTAGCATCCACCGATCTGATGGATGCCCGAAAGCTCATCCCACCTGGCTCTAAACATGATGAAGAACGAAGTCAACTTAGGCGCAGACTTATAAAAAGCCTACGTAACGATCGCGAACAGTGGTGGGTGGCGAAAGCAAAAGCGATGGAAAAGGCAGCGGCGATAGGCAACACTAGACAACTTTTCCGACTTATCAAGGAAACTGGTATTAGGAACCCGAATGTGAGTGAGACTATTGCGAGAAAGGATGGTCTTATTATCCATTCTCAATCCAGGAAACTGGACCGATGGGCAGAACACTTTAGGGATCAGTTCAACTGGCTACGAGCCACTCTTCAGTTACCCACGATCTCCAGTCATCCTGAATGGCAAATCGACGTAAGTCCCCCTAGTCTTAATGACGTTGAGAAAGCGTTAGGAAATCTGAAACGAGGACGAGCTGCAGGTCCTGATAGACTGACCCCTGAGATATTCAGGGATGGTCGTCCAGGTTTAGCAGCTAGATTGACTGAGATCTTAGGTAAAATCTGGGAACTGGACGTAATCCCATCCGACTGGTCTCAATCCTTGATTGTCCCGATCTATAAGAAAGGACAAAAGTCTTCTTGTGACAATCACAGGGGAATAAGTCTAACTAATATAGTATCTAAAATATTGGCCTCAATAATACTTCGACGCTTAACGAAATCTCGTGAAGAGCAAACTCGAGAAAACCAATCTGGTTTTCGACCTAGACGTGGTTGTATAGACCACATCTTCACACTACGACAGGTCCTGGAACACAGACACACATTTAGACGTCCGACAATAGTCGTGTTCCTGGACCTTAAGGCGGCATTCGACTCAGTGGATCGTGAGGTTCTGTGGCAGTGTCTATCATTGAAAGGTGTACCAAAGAATTACATTAACCTTATACAAGCCCTTTACTCGAACACCACTGGTCGAGTGAGAGCTTATGGCGAACTGTCACCGGAATTCTCTACATCAATTGGTGTCCGTCACGGATGTCCACTTTCTCCTTTCTTGTTCAATTTTATCATAGACATGCTCCTAGACATAACATTGTCCTCGTCTGAATTTTCAGGAGTAGACCTTCTACCAGGTGGCTCGCTTATTGACTTAGAATATGCCGATGACATTGTCCTACTTGGTGAAGATGCTGACAAAATGCAGAGTCTTCTGACTACCCTAAGCAACAATGCAAGCATGTTCGGGATGCGGTTCTCACCCTCGAAATACAAAATGTTGCTTCAAGACTTGGTTGCATCGGCACCTGAACTAGTGATAGGGAGTGAAGTAGTCGAACGTGTAGACCGCTTCACGTATCTGGGGAGTCTCATCAGTGCCGATGGCCTGGTGACTGACGAAATCTCAGCTCGGATACAGAAGGCTCGATTGGCTTTTGCCAACCTGCGTCACTTATGACGTAGGCGTGATATCCGTTTGCTGACTAAATGACGAGTGTACTGTGCAGCAGTTCGCTCCGTTCTCCTATATGGCTGTGAAACGTGGCCAGTGAGAGTAGAAGATATTCGTAGGTTACTGATTTTCGATCATAGGTGTCTTCGAAGCATTGCTCGAATACCGTGGGACAACCGAGTGAGCAATGCTGTCGTTAGGAAACGAGTACTGGGTAAGGATGGCAGATCAATCGATGAAGTGGTGAAACTTCATCAGTTGAGGTGGTTGGGATACGTGTTGCGTATGCCTAACCACCGACTGCCTCGACGAACTTTGTTTTGTAGCGTAGGGGTAGGTTGGAAGAAAGTTAGTTGCGGCCAAACCAAAACATGGCAGAAATCCATGAAGTCATTGACTAGTGGACTGAGCCATGTCGGTAATTGTCGACTACCTGGTTGGGGTCCGCGAGATGATAATAATCGATGGTTAGAGACCTTGAATGACATGGCTCAAAATCGTTCTCAATGGCGCCGGTGCATTTACTCTTTGTGTTCTCTCAAATCCTAATCTTCTGGATTCTTCAACACCTCTAGTTTTAACTTTCCAAACTTTTCTTATTTAATCATACTTCTTGAATAATATCTTCTCATTCTAATCTCTCCGATTACTACCTATTCTACTATTGGATTTGAATTGACCATTACTTCTCTGTGCTGATGTGGTATGGCAACACGAACTGATGTACTTATGTACAAAGTTCTACGTTGCATCCGACTGACTGACTTCCCGGCAGCCCACACCGTGGAAGGTATATAGGTATATAGTGTTGGTTTTAGAGACCTGGGTGCGTGACCGCAGAATCCAAGGGACAACTGCTTGAAGTCTGTAACACACGGCCTTTTTATCTAAGGTTTTTTTAATATTAGCTCCACTCCTAAAATCCCCTTATTGGGCAGCCCTTACCATCGGATACGGAAATCTGTGAGGTAGGGGGGGGTGACATTTTTAGGGTCAAACTTTTCTAACCCTTCCTTCCTTGTGAGAAGGCAGCATCGCTGCATATGCTTGTTGCCCGAGGGAAACACCTTACTGCTGTCACACCCCTCTGCAGTCAGCAGTACGACTTCGCCCTCAGACCTTGGGTAGCTGCTTTTAGTCTCATCGTTCTCCAATCGACCTGCCTGGCATGGCAGAACATTCAGGAACATATCTTCCAACCAATATAGCTTGGTTGGATCATTACGATAGGCAAGCTCGACCACCACGTCAACGTAGCAGCTACGGTCGAGGTGCCATTGCAACACTCATTGAGTAATGTTCCCTGTTGTCCCATCCCTTCATTACTGTTATGATTGTATTGCTTTCAAATATTTTACGATGAAAATCAAAACTGTCGTACTGATATATAAATACTATCGAAAGTATTTGCTTCAAAACCATCCTATGATTTCACACTATGATATTCAATTAAACAGTCTTGGTGTTAATGAGATCGATTATTCTTTTCAGGATTGCACTGTGAGCTGGTCCATCTTGCAAACCCAGAAGTGATGTAAAGTGATCTTCATTGGACATACAAAACGTCTCATAAGTAAATTGCAAAGGTGGATTCTGTTCACTCTTTTGTAATGCATTGCGTAACAAGTCCACTAGAAATTCTGATTGTTCCTTCATAGCTGGGGAATCATATTCTGCCCAAGCAACAATCCAATGCATTGATTTATTGAGCAATAGATTTGGACTATCTTGCATGAAGTGTCGGATTGGACTGACAGATAAAGCCTCCTCATCTGTTTTAAACTTTAATGCTTTATTTGCGTAAGTGTGAATCAACGGTCGAAGATCGTAAACTCCGGACATTAAAACAAGGTTTTGCACACAGCGCAGCCAATCTTTATTTGATTCGAGTTTCATGTGAGCCCAACATATCATTTCCAGGACTAACTGTGCACCAGCAGAATGTCCAAATAGGGTTATGCGGAGCTTCGTATCATCTAAGTTTTTGAACATTTTATGGGTAAGAGTCATAACTTTTTGCATTCCCAAACATAGGCGTTGTGGCATCATATCTAGCTTTTCTTTTGGAGCTAATCTGTAGGACAAAGAGGCAAATATACTGTCAGCCTTTGTAACAGGAACTGCCCAATTACTACTTTCCTTCCACTCAATAAGCTGCCAATATCCTCCATGAACATAGATAACAATATTGGTGGGTATTACTGACTGATCACTTGGAGGAAACCAATCTAAAGCATATTCTCCATATCCGTCATCTTCAAATACAATGGATTCATCAAACGGAACTTTAAAGACCCCTCTATCTTTATATAACGTCCGTGAAAATTCACTTTGTTTGCGTAAGATGGATAGAAGTTGTCCTCTTACATCATCTCCAAGACAAAATGGCTCTCTGGTTTTAATAAGCCAGTTTACAGTTTTGTACTGATAATCCAGCTCTTCAACAATTTTTGGTAACTGAACTCTTGTTGAGTCTTCGTCTATAGCACTCATGAATTTCGTGCTAACTGCCTGAAATAAACAAATGGTTAATTTATTGATATTTATCGCACAACAAATGAATAGGTTAGATGACTGATGTAAATGCAATTACAGTGACATAGATCACTGACTCCTAATGAAACGAATTTTTGTGCATATTAATATAAGACTGCCGGAAACACTCGACTGATAAAAGCCTTCACATACAAAATGTATTTTAAATCACTTCTCATACTCATTAGTAAGACTTGATCAAAACCTATTTAGAAACAAGAACACATTGGAGCACAGTGAGAAATTCATTGTCGACTACTGGCTGCTAATGGGTATGCCGATAAGACAGAATTATCCAGTGAATAGATATTTGCAGTGAAATTTCGATACCAAGTTAATTTAACTAGTTTGATTGGAAATATATTAACGCTTATGTCGAAGTATTTCTGATTTAGGAACCAGTTAACAACACCAGACCGAGGAAGACTTTATAAATTTACTGCCTGTGTAAATTATTGCATTAAAAATTTATTCAGCACTTAGGAGCCTTGAAAAATTAAAGTACTTAAAAAGAGACGAACTGTGTAGTGTATTGATACTTTATTAGGAGGAACTGTAATAATAACAAGAAACGAGTTTGGAGGATTCAATCCCGTCAAACTAATTTATGAAAAAGATAATCAATATCGGAAGACAACTCCATTTCCCTTATTCCATGAGAAATCATAGTACACAACGGTAACGGGGCCAAGAAACACCAAACATGTGCCCGAGTAGCTTCAGCCTTTGGGTGGTTTGCGTTCAGGCCGGAGGTACCTTGTGTACTGAAAGGTGTGAAGAGCGACGTGAGGTTATTTGGAATAACAAAGAACAAGAGAAGAAGATGAGCCGACGACTCAGCAAGCACAAAGAATTCACTTACATGCAATCTAAGAATAAACAAAATGCAATCAGAAATAAAGCCAGCGTAAGATGGAGACAAATCGATAAACAAAACTAGGAGTTGATAGTAAGGTTTCTTGAGCGTTATACTAGGAAAACTAACCAGTAAAGCTCGATCTCAAAGTCTGCGCCTCTTCAATTCAATATCTAATATCTTCCTCAATAGTTAGTATGAACTAATGGATTTCCTTGCACTCTATTTCTGTTCTTTCGGTACGGTTCCTGGTATTTGGTAGTATCCAATGAATGGAGGTCTAGCCATTCGACTATCTAATTCTAGTCAGACGGCAGGTGATTGAGAGTTTGTATGTCCCGTAATTTGAATAGGTGTGTTTGTTTCAGGGCAGTAGGGTTTCTAGATACCAGCAGCTATCACATTACCAGACCGGAGATGTGTTAGTCGCATTTCGGTAAACAATGCGAGGAAAAGTCTAATCCTAATAAGATTTCAGAACTAAGTAAGTAAATGTGTAGGTTTAATAAATGGTAGTGATGATGTAATGAAGCAGAACACAGGTGAGGGCAACCGAATTGTATTTATCTCAAATTACAGTGTTAATTGGTAAAATAGGAAAACCATATCGTAAATCGTTAATTTGCAAAATATCAATCCATCATATCGAACTGGACTATTCCTGTTGCAAACATCAATCCATTGTCTGACATTTCACTGTTCATGCGTTTCATACAAATCCTATTGTGTTCCCGCTCTTCCTTTCTTGATCTTCCCCCATCTTCTGCTGCCAGACATTACGTTTTTACTTGCGTCATATACTACTTATAAGTAGCGCGCACCACATTCGTCCTCTTTTTAATAAGCTGTCATCGTAGTCTTTCCGATCGCTGTACTGCTGTCTTCTTTGATAATTTCCGTGACTCACACACTTGGTAAACTTGAAACCACCTTTGCTGTTGACTGGCATTTAAACGCTTCTGCTTGTCTTCTCTCCGGATCTTGTACACCGGGCCGCCTCTCTCCGTGATAACGCACGGTCCTTCCCACTTCGGGATCAGCTTTCCCCACCCCGACCATTGATCACCGACTGCGGTTACTGGGATCGACTGTAACGGCGGTTGTGTGTATCTATCGCTTTTCATTAGTTGACACTGCTGGCAAGTTAACACGTATTGAGCCACATCGTGTCTCATGCCCGGCCAGTATGCACTTTGTCGTAATAAATCCGTCGTTCTTACGATGCCTGTATGTGCTACCTGGTGACACTCGTGTCTCATCTTACGCTGCCAGTCTTTAGGGATTACAGCCACCCAATTCTTGTCATCGTCCTGCCAGGTCAGGACTCCATATGCGGTCATTTTCAGTCGTTCCTTTTGCCGAAGTAACATTATTACCTCCTTGTCCGTCGTTCTTTTGTCTACGTCTGCTCCTTCCTTTATCTCTCTGATTACCTCTTGAAGGTTCGGGTCAGCATTCTGTTGCCGGATGAGTTCTAATGGGTCTCCCTCTAAACTGCTCACCGTGTATGCTGTCAATGGAAGGTCAGCTTCCATGTCTGAACTTGACAAGTAATCCGCCATTACGTTTTCCTTTCCTGGAACATGGCCGATACTGAAGTCGTATTCTTGCAGACGTATCATCCACCGCGCCAACTTCCCTCAGGGGTCTCTTGCTGTTCTCAACCACTGCAGGAGTTTATGGTCAGTCTCAATGTGAAATTGTCTAACTGAAAGGTACGGTCTCCATTTTTCTACTGTCCACACGATTGCTAGGCACTCCTTTTCGATCATTGAATACTTCTGCTCAGTGGGTGTGAGAACGCGACTTGCGTATTCCACCACTCTATCAGCCTGACTCAATACCGCACCTATACCATGATCACTTGCATCAGTGGCCATTGTAAACAGTTTCCCGGGTTCAGGCAGTCGCAGCGTCATCTGACGATTGTCTACCATGTTTTTGTTTCGGTCGAACGTTTGTTCGGCAGCCTCAGTCCATGTAAACTTCGTGTTACTCAGCAATTCATATAAGATCGTTGCTATTTTGTTGAAATTCTTGACGAATCGACTATAAAACGCCGCCCTTCCCAGGAACTGTCACAACTTCTTTTTCGAATTAGGTACTGCAATATTTTTATGGTAAGAATAATTTCCGGTAATGGCTTTGTTTCTCCATTTCCCACTTTATGTCCCAAAAATGTGGCGCTGTTTTCGCTATCTGCGACTTTTCCTTATTATTTCGAAGCATAAATTAGTCAATTCACTTTAAGACCGCTTCCACATGCTTGATCTGTTTCCGTCAGGCTGTACACAACTACATCGTCGCCATATACCTCAACATTATCTAGATTCTTGAGCAGTAGCGTCATTAATCTTCTGAATGTAAACGGTGCACCTGCCATCCCGAACGGCATTCGTTTAAATTGATACTGTTTATCCTGCATAGTAAATGCTGCCTTGTTGCGATTGCTATCTTTTATAGGTAGTCACAAAATCCATACGGCTCCCCATCTCCAGTGAACAGTTTCGCATACTTTGTGCATAACTCGATAATGTTTGGTTTCTTGGTCGAGACGTCCGTTGCCACTCTTATTTCAGCCACTTCGCTCCTTTCGTGTATTGGCAATGAACCATACTTTGTGACCATTTTACCGCTTCTTAAGTCGATTATCGCTTTTACCTCTCTTAGGAAATCTGCTCCTAATATCGGTCTCGATAAGCTTGTGGTTACCACGAACGGAAAATTTATCACAGCTCCACTCATTTTTACAATACTGCTGGATACACCCAACAACTCTAGCATATGCCCTCCTATGGTGTGGACAGCTAATGCACATGATTTGATTGTCTTACATTGTTCTTTGCCTATTAACGATATTGCTGCCCCTGTATCGATCAAACACACTAACTCTTGTTCATTTATGTACACTCTGGTGTAATTTGCCCCTCTATCTACTAGTGCAAGAACCTCCAGATTCATAGGGTGGAAAGAACAAATGTTATAATGGCTAAAATACCTTCCTCGTCGTCTTCTTGGACAGTTTATCATCCAATGTCCTGCCGATCCACAAGCGTAACACTTATCGTTCCTTTTATGATTTACTCGTCTCACGCTCCAACTCCTCAATCTTCTTCTCCACAGTATTTATCTCCTGCTTTCCTCACCCGACCGGAGCTACTGTTCGTGTCATCAGCTGACGAGTCACCTTCGCCAGTTCACTGATATCCATAGGTTGTGCTGAGTTTACTAGTCTCAGCTGCTGGGACACGGCGGCACGCACACTCTCGATAAACTGTGACGCTAACAACTATGCCTCCAATATTCGGCATCGCACGGCGCAACAATCTGGTAAGTTCCACAGACAGCACCAGTGGGTCACCATCGACCGACAACCTCGCCAACCGGAACTCCTGCAGCGATTCATCCCTGTTCACTGGGCTGTCGAGCTCCGTCATCAACCGCTCCATGACCGTCTCCCATGTCGTCTTCCCACAATCGCCCTCCAAGCTGTCATATACGGCCTTTGCCCTAACTCTCAGCGGCGTCCCCAGCACTACCAACTTCGCCTTCGGCTCCTTCACACCCACTAGCTCCGCCACGGCCTCAAACTCCTTTAGGAAGCTCAGCACATCTCCGTCCTCAAATTCCTTCTGCCATGGAAACTTCATCACTTTTGTAGGCAGCGACACCAAATGTAGTGAAGGAGAACGCATGTGAGGGCAACCGAATTGTATTTATCTCAAATTACAGTGTTAATTGGTAAAATAGTAAAACCATATCGTAAATCGTTAATTTGCAAAATATCAATCCATCATATCGAACTGGACTATTCCTGTTGCAAACATCAATCCATTGTCTGACATTTCACTGTTCATGCGTTTCATACAAATCCTATTGTGTTCCCGCTCTTCCTTTCTTGATCTTCCCCCATCTTCTGCTGCCAGACATTACGTTTTTACTTGCGTCATATACTACTTATAAGTAGCGCGCACCTTAATGATTGTGTGATAGGACCAAAGTATAAGTGAGGGAGAGGAAGTAGAGATGATAAGCGAGATAGAATGAGCATTTGTTCCGAGATTGTAGTAATAATAATAATAATATGCGATAAAGCATCGACACACAATTAAATATACTATAATCGAATTACTACGAACTAAACATTATAGTCGATTCAGTTCATCGAATAATTCAAACGACTAATTGTTAAACTACAATGAATGAATGGTTAGATTCTACAATTTCTTTAACCAGAACAAGATGGTGTCCGGGTAGAAGTGTAGCGATGTGACCGTAGTGGGATGTCATTATATATATAAGGAGAACAAAAGTATTCATATTGTGTACTGTCGTTCATTCTCCAGCACGTTTTGGTACTTTTTTGATGCAACAAAATTGCTTGCAAATACACCAATTTCACCTGGCCTGTCCCTTCTTCTTTATTTCTTTAAATGATCTGGGACAGCGTATGATATCTCATTCAATTCGTATATGGCCCCACGATTTAAATATCTATGAACTCATGTGAATCCAGCAAAACTCTTCAAATTCCTCATACTTCCAACTTATAAAACATCATTGCAAGTGCGATTGTACCGATGAAATGATCACCGATCATCTACAGAAAATATGATCCGATAGATGGCAAAGACTCTTGATTTGGATTAAAATTTGTTTCACAGTAGATATTCAGACCAAGTGGAGATTTGTGGGCAGTATTACTACAAATCACTTGTTTTAATGATCAGTATAAAGTTTATCTTGACTTAACACAGAACTGTTTACTTTACCTGACGGACTGATTAACCTTGGAATTCATATCTATACTAGTTATCTTAGTTTTCATAGTTTAAGAGACGGTAGCAAAGCTATTGGGAAGCATGTTACTGAATAGATTTAAGGACGGAAAATGAGATCATTTGAAGGGGAAAAATACGTGAGATAGGAGTTTTGAAAGGAGGGAAATGACAATAGTAAAACTGAGCGGATATAAAGTATGCAAGAATAGAACCTGAAACCTACCGAAAATCGCAACATTACCTTTGACCGTCCTAGTAAGCAACTTTGCGTGGATCTAGCAGCTCTTCCACAAGTCATTTATTTGCAAGTGAACGAATGTATGCATATTGCTGATGCAAATTGGAAGATAGCAGCTGATCGAAATGACTAGATCTACCGCACAATGGTTCTAAATTGTAATGATTTTGTTTGTCCGAATTGTTACTCACACACACACAAATGCTTAAACACTGATATCTGAATCACATCTACTATCCGAAATATTTTGTTTCAACCTATCGTCAGGTCGCATTCGGCCGTGCCGAGTTGACGTTTAATAAAAATGAAAAAGTACCTTCTCTAACATTCAACTGCATTAGAAAGATTCCAAAACAATTCGAATAACCATTGTCAAAATACATTGATTAGATGTTATAACTAACATACTGATATATACACTAATCCAATATGAAGTTTAATGAAAAAGTATGTCTCCCGTGTATTTAATCAATTTTGTACTTGGACACTTCAAACAAGAACACGAGGACAGTGGGCGGGGAATAAATCAAACCGATGTATGAAAATATTTTATATGGTTTATTTGAAGTCAGATTTGTCTAAATTGAACTGAGTAGTATTTATCGTTAACTAATCAGTACTTTACTGGATAATCGTTAATTGTCTATAAAGAATAAAAATACTAATGTGACTACTACGTAACATATGATTACATCTCATCAACGATTGGACGAAAATAAATTTCGGTTTTTACTCGCACTCCTGTCAATCAAGTCCTCGTTCATTACATCATGATAAACAGTCCTTTGAAATAATTTTTTTACAAGGTTAATGTTTCCTTTACACGTAAAAAAATAGTCCCCACTAATCTCTTACTACTGACTAACTATGTTAATTGCTCCAGGATCGAGTAGACAATCTATTTTGATTTGAGAATTCCAAATTTTTTAATCAAAACAGTAAATCCACGAAAAAACTCTTATTTGCAGTTAAAGAATATTTTGATGAAAAATAGTTTTTTAATAATGTTAAGTGAGCATGATATGAATAACACAACTTCATATAAAAATATGTACATACTTCTCTAACCAGAAAGCATTACACGACCTGTGTAAGCTGTCAAGAAAATCCGTGTTGTATAACAGTCAAAAATAACAGTCCATAATAACAGATACATTTTTTAGGATAGTATACATTTGTGCTTCAGGCGGAGTTCTAAAGTGGCTAAAGTTTTAGTAGTTTAGGTTACCATGGAAAATAAATAGAGACTATTTCAACGTTGAAAATTAGGAAGACCATGACTGAACTCGATGTAGAAATGTATCTACTGATAGTCCATGAAATTCAAAAGTGAATATTAATGTCAATTACTAGATATTAACCGTAGTATTAGATAAATATCTATTCGAATATCATTATTACTTAATCGTAACTGCCTTCGTATATCAAAAACCAACTAAAGCGCTTAACATAAAGAAGCAATGATTGGCTAAGTGGAAAGGAGGTTAGGTTAGCACGTTTCAACAGTTCCGATGAAAATCATATATATTCATCATCTACGTCTTTAGATCCTAGAATTACGATTTTATGTTTGTGATCATTGGTTAGCTTTGACTAGTTTTGGAATGAACTTTAATATTAATAAATTCTGTGCGACACCGTTTACATGGTGTCTACACTGATAGAAACAGTAGGTGTGGCATTTTGTAATACGTAAGTGAATGATGAACCGCATATACTTATGAAAACATAATGACGAGATGCAAAGAAAAAATCCTAAATATATTCTTCCGAAACAAAAACTTGGAGAACAAAATGGAAAATGATTCACATAACCTATAACTACCAAGTTTCGAGAAATACATTTACACATGGAGAGTAAAGATGAAATATTCAATTTATTTGAAAAACTAATTAACGGTACAGCTGAATAAGAGTTTATTTTAAAAATTATCACAAATTCAACCGAAATAATATGAACGCATGAATACGACAAACATAGATCTCATTCGTCAAAACTAAATAGTTGACAGCAACTGGGCGTAGTCTTCATGGTCAGGAATTTCCCGGATCCCGTAAGAGACTCCATCTCCTTGACTGAAACCACACAAAAATACGATGATTAAAGTAATTAGTGAAGATTCAACTGATTAGACAATAATTATTATCATTAAGTTACATCCACAGTCCAGACACTCAACTATCAACTAATTGGTTGTAGCTTCAAACTTTACCCACAAATACTTCACTTCCAGTAGTATCACTGGTGACCAAACATTTTAAGAAAATTTTACATATGAATATGTACTTTCTTACTCAGTAATGTCTAAATTTTATTAACTATTGAAAATTAGTGTTTGACAGTTATTTAATCTTGATGCTTATAACTTAGTTAACTCCAATGGTTATGACTAACTACTTGAGTTCTAATGAGTTGAATCGATTGATTGGTGATGACTAATAAACAGATGGACACTAATAACGTTAGACGATAGCCCTACCATATTGCAAACTGATGCGTTAGAAAACATAGATCGCTGGGTAGTCAAAATGAACTTTTGTACGATATCGTGACTAAGTTAACATCTAAAGGTCTGTTACGCATGCACGTTAACACGTCATTTGATAGGCTTGAACTATGACGAGTTTACCTTAGTCGCAAGACGAGAGCGAGGATTGAGGATCCGGCGACACATGCTACTCTAATTCGAGTGTCCGAACCCCCACTGAGTAAAAGAAGAAGACTTGATATGAAATAGAACGTGTACACTACACGCATCCAGAAAGTACGAGGTCCGAGTCCAGAAGAGGATGAGTGTCCCGGACAAGGGATCCGGGTCCGGGTCATAGAACGTTACAGATAATGCGTATTTATATAGTTAGGTCGAAAAGGAAACAACATTGAAGTCTGTGACATTGATAGCCAGGACGACCAATAAGAAAACAACATTTGAAGCATGTGACGACCAAAGGGGTTTGACCGATAGGATTAGACTTACAAACAATTATCTTAAAATATTAGATGAATTAGATGATTTTACATGGGCACTTCATTACGAGTTGCAGATTCCGAAAATAATCTAATCATTCTTTGGTATAGATAATCCTAAACCAACAAACACTTATTTGAAGCTGATTTATAAGAAATTGTCAGATGTCTAGCGTAAATCCAAAACAAAAAGCGAGTGTCACCCTATCAAATGATCATTCTTTCTTCCATTTTACCGTAATCAGATAAGATTCACAATCTAGAGGGAACGGTGTACTTCATTAATCATTTCATATCTTCAAGTAGTAGACATCGTGCAAGTCAACTGGAGTTTTTGTCATTTTGATGAACGATCAATTATGAATGGCAGTAAAGTGATAACGAAACAATTTTCATGTTGATTGATTCGGTGAAGTATGAAAACTGAATAAAATATTTTGTGACCATAATAAGCACCGACAAAATTATGTCAATAGCTGTTACCCACGACTGTTCTAGTGCTTCGAAAACTGTAGACTTTAATAATTATAATAATTCCATGTATTCGTCAACTGAGATTATTTTTAGAGTAATTTTGGGCAACGAAACATTAGAAATGAAGTTGTTTATGATCATAAGTTTTTCACATACGATAAAGCTTTTAAAAACACAATCCGTCATTCTAAAAGACTACAATTTTCATTTTCAACAACGTTATGTCCATTGACAGGTTTATTAAATAACGAGCTACTTTTAACCATTAACATCCCTAAAAGGTGTATTCACTCTCTATTCGCTAAGACCCATTATTGCATCACCTTATACAAAAGACATGTATTATGAGTTATTATAAACTTTCATGCTTACCTTTTCTCTACCCCATCCTTAATTAAGACACTTATCTTTTTCAAATTATATGGATATCTTATCAGCATTATTATAATTACAATTACGCTCACTGTATACTATATTCACATGTCTTTATTATGATCATTATTTTTTTTTTAATCTCGATAAACCCGATAATAGAATTATCCTATTATGCATCATATCCACATGATTTATTCTATTGTATTGATCTCAATATATAGTATTTCAACTCGTTTTTTAAACTTTTAACAGGGTTTTTTAAAATAACCAAAAAAATTTTTAAAATTTTCACAGCGTTTTTTAAAATTTTTTGTAATCCTTACAATGTCAGAAATAAATAGAAAAAACAACTTGATTTCGAATGAAAAAAGAAAAAGCCTTATAAAAAAAGTTATTGAAGATGGATACAACGTCAAGGATGCGGCATTTCTTACAGATGTAAACTATCAGGCCGCTACAAATATTATAAGGTTGTATAAAAAGGAATCGCGAGTTGAGAAGAAAAAAACGGGAAAACCATCAAATAAGAAGATATGCGGTGATATTATCAATTTTGTTGAAGAATTGATAGAATTAAACCCGTTAATAACGATGGTAGAAATTCGAGAAAAAATAGAAAACATATTTTCTATAGGCCTTCCTCTTGAATCTATATAAGAAGGATAATTTATACACTTCAGATTACTTTGAAAAAGATTTCTTATACATCGGTCAATATAAATTCGGAATCCAGTAAAAACAAACGCCAAATTTATGCTCAAAATTTTATGAACATTGAAGACACATTTATAAAAGTTTTTATAGATGAATCTTCTTTTAATTTGTACAACCTTATAATATTTGTAGCGGCCTGATAGTTTACATCTGTAAGAAATGCCGCATCCTTGACGTTGTATCCATCTTCAATAACTTTTTTTATAAGGCTTTTTCTTTTTTCATTCGAAATCAAGTTGTTTTTTCTATTTATTTCTGACATTGTAAGGATTACAAAAAATTTTAAAAAACGCTGTGAAAATTTTAAAAATTTTTTTGGTTATTTTAAAAAACCCTGTTAAAAGTTTAAAAAACGAGTTGAAATACTATAACACCTCAAAACGTATTTTTCAAGCCCCTTCTTAAATTATCTTTATGTTGACAACCGACACGTTTTGGAAGCACTTAGACGTCAACCGATGTCAAAGCTCACCATTTTGACGTAAAGTACTGACTAATTCATTCTTTTATATATGCCTTATTTTGGAGATTGTAATATAGTGTTTATAGATTTATGATTGCAAAAGCTGATTATGAAGCGATTGAAAACAATTATTTGTTCAAATATTACTTGTTTCCCCATAAACTACTAAAAGTAACTCAGTTCAGTTGTAGACTGAGTTTACCAACAAACAGTATGAAAAATGTGCCGCAAACAAATGATAGATTATAAGGCGAAAACAAAATAAGACCTGATAGAAAAAAATACAAATTCACCATTTTAGTTCAATATATTCACTTTACCGTAAATAAGTAAACATAAACTTTCGTATTTGCATCTATAGGGAAATTCGTGAGTGACCATTACTCAGCCACATATCTCACTGCACGACTCCTCATTGGGGTTCATCTACGACTCCGTACGCTATTATGGAACCTAGTGCCTTCAGAATCGAGCATGAACACTGAACCTCTAGGCCATCGATGGTGTTAATATCTAACTTCAATCAATCCACGAAACAAGATTTTCGGAGTTCTAGTAATAGACCATAACCAATGGGGTGAAATTCTGTCGGGTGTGGGGGTATTTACCCACCAGAGGTAATGAAAGACAATCCAGACGTTCAGTGTCCATGCACTATGCCGACGGCTACGACTTCCATTACAGCGCTAATCAGGAGTCCTACAGTAAGACGAAATGACTGCCAAGTGCTTCCGCGCTTTCAGTGTTGCTTTAACTTAAATTGGTTCATGATTTACATGAAATTTAACAATCTTTACAACCCCTTACTGAAAACAGTGTGGCTGAGTTATGGATACTCGCAAGACTGTATAAGTGATTAGGAGTTAAAAGCATGACTGCTGGCCATATTTATTGATTTTCATACAATAAAGTAGTATGCATAAACACAAAACTTGGACACAAAAAACCATGGTAAAATGTCATCGGTGATTGGAGGAAATTAGCTTGTTTATTCATTTTTCAACCAATTAATGCCTGACTGCTAAGCCTATTCTTTGGATATCGTATCGAAAACACTTTAAAACAAATGAGAAGAGACCACATACGATATCGTAGAACGATTTCTATTTGTGTACCGCATGACTTATTACCAAACTTCAAATCCCTTGCTGAGATGCTTATGGGACGAAAGCTAAGAACAGTTCATAGTGCGATGACACCTAAGCGATTGGCCCAGCAAAGCCCTCAGATGAAGAATACTTGAGTTCCTTACGAAATTGGTGCGAAAGTGTATGCTCGGGACTACAAACACGGATGTGATAGACGGATAGAGGGTGAAATCACAAAGAAACATGAGAACGTCATGTTTGGTGTCAGGGTGAGCCAAGATATCTGGACCAAGCAACATAATCAACTAAGGCCAAGGGAAGCTAAGGAAAGAGGTGAAATTACGAGACGCATCCCACTCGACTTGCTGTTGGATACTTTTCAACTTCCGCCAATACCTATAACAGAGACAACTGAGTCATCTGATTAAGCTGATTCTGGTTTGTTTGTTACCTAGAAGGCGGTCAGATTGCAAACGAAGACAAACGAAGAAATTTCAGGTAAACCCTCGGTTGCGTCGCTATTAACTTTTTCCAAAGGGAGGTGTTAGGATATTCATAAAAATATCCTAAAAATTATTCTTTTAAGTCTAATTCTATCTTTGAACGTGAAATGATATGTTTTCACATGGTTTCAGACTTTTGACACATTTCACATGCCGTTTCTTATCGGTCGTCCTAACTGTATCAGTCGGTCAGTCAGATGCAACGTAGAACTTTGTACATAAGTACATCAGTTCATGTTGCCATACCACATCAGCACAAAGAAGTAATCGTCAATACATTGTCTGTAAATTATTATGACCCCATAAACACTTTCCATCTAACGGTTTTGTGTTCTGATATATTGGAGATTTGGGTAACAGATTTTCGGTTTTACTGGAATATCTGAAGCTGGTCAATCGGTAGTATTTCGAGCAACCACATCGCGGTCCACAATACTTATAAATGAGAAACATTAAAACAAAAAATAGATTAAATATTTATGTAATCCTACCTAGAGTATACTGGTAGCAGCCAATGTCTGATGTTATCACCGAATATTTGAAGAAAATTTTTCTTCCATCCAAGATTAAAACCATATATATGATGAGCGTCATTACGAAAATTCGGTGGCCGAAAGTATTCCAGAGTAGACTTATTTTTAAATATTAAGTACGTATGAAACAGAAGCAGAATTAACAATGCCAATGAAAACACAGCCGACAGAAGTGAAACAGTAAATGTACAAAACAAACCCCACGATCGATTATTAGCATCATTAGTCGGCCGAATCTAAATAGAATTATTATGACAATAAATAATACAAATTCACACGGAATTTACCTTTATGTATTTCAGTAAGTAGGATAAAGCAAATAGAAAACACAGTATGCAATACAGAAAACCGTAGAAGATAAGTAAAATGAAGTATTTATAATTATGGTAACCAATACAGTTATTTATCCAAGGACAATGATGATCCATTTTAGGAACACATCTATGAAAAAACGACAAATAAGGAATGAAAGAATGATATATATATATATATATATATATATATAGGCATATATTAAAACAGTAAGTTCTAGTAATAGTTAATGTTTATGACAAAAGTTGTACTTATTGTCACTTCGCTAACACTTTATCCACGAGAAGGGCGACATCGACCTTATTTTTCCAGTAATGAAAAGATTTGAGAATAGGGTACACATTCATTGTTTAAACAATAAAACATACTCAGTAAAAATCAACAGTTTTTAGATCTTAGTTAGGATATGTGAATGGCATAGTGTTTAAACCCATGAAATAAAGTTTTCTCAAAGTCAAACAAGCAGGATTTGTTAAATATAAGTAGGATAAAATTTTATGTTAATGAAATTAAAAAGGTTAGTGCCAGATTCATTTATACCATTGTAGTCACAGTGTCTGAGGGTCAGTAATATTTTCAAACTGGAGAGGTCGAGATTATAAAGCTTGCTACTAAAACTGAACGACTGAAAGCCGTATGTTTTAGGAAGTAACTACTTCTATAGAGTTCACTGAACAGTGTAATTAAAGATCGACTAACGAAGTCACTTTATTTCCTAAAGTAGACGTAAAAATAGTAGACTTGAATAGATGATCCAATAGTTGGGGACTGAATACCACAATTACGAAGATATATCACTACGTGTGTATAAAATACATAATCCAACTGGTTTGTAAACACTGTGAAGCCTTAAAATAACAACAAGTAAACGATTAAAATGTAAACATACCTCATACAACTTGAACAATGATGTGTACGATCTGGCTTTAAAAGAAAACATATATCACAGAATTGTGCATTGAATCTTTTCCCAACAGTAAGTACAGGTAATTGTTTTGTAACAGATAAATTATTCAGAAATGCTGACCGATCGTGATCATTTTCCAATTCTATAAAATATTTCGTCTCATCAGCAGTAAGATAGAACTAAGAGGAGTACGAATACAAAGTTTGGAGTAAACATACATTTTTTGGTATTGTACTTATCTGCGTATATGTTGATTTCCAAAATGACCAAAGAAATAAAATGACCAAAACATGATACAGAGAGAAGAAAAATACTGTATATAACGAATTATTCAATAGGCAACTTACACAACAAACATGTACTAGTGATTAAATCTACAAAATATTTTGGGTCTATAAAACAAACAATTGAATTTAAACGTTACCTCGGATTGCAACAAATACGACTACATAGTATGACCAGCTTATAATAAATAAAACAAGTGCAACTGGAATCGTTAAACAGAATCTGCCTAATTCTTGTACACATATTGATAAACGATGTTTCGAATACCCATTTGGGAGATACACGTATTTCTTCTGGTTCCCAGTCATCCCATCATTAAAAATATCAGCCAGGGTTACACTGTGGAAGAGTAAATGTTTACGAAAAAAAGTAGTGCCTAGTTGTATATAATTAATTCCGAACTAGTATGAATAAACAATGCTGTGACAAAACACAATACATGTATAGAAAATATTAAATATTTAAAAAACCACATAAACTTATTAACTAATTGTTGAAAAACTGGTGACTGTAATACACGATTAAACGAAATGAGAATGCAGACTTAATATATGAACGATCTCATCCCAACACTAGACAATATGAGGATGCTAAGATACATAGAAATAACTGATTCCGAAAAGATATGACAAAATCTCATCACTAGTCACGAAACAATATTATCGATGCAAAAAAATCTAAGTATCCAAATTTAACACAAATAAACTGATAAAAAGGAATTATTGGATACCCTTTTATCCACACTGTATTATAAACTGTGACTAAGGCCGAGTTTATACTACCAGTGCCCGACAGTAGCTGCTACATTGACGTGATGGTCGAGCTTGCCTATCGTGATGACCAAACCGAGCTAAACTGGCTGGAACATATGTTCTTGAAGGTTCTACCATGCCAGGAAGGTCGACTGGAGAACGATGAGACTAAAAGCAGCTACCCAAGGTCTGAGGGCGAAGTCGTACTGCTGATTGCAGAGAGGTGTGACAGCAGTAAGGTGTTTCCCACGGACAACCAGCATCTGCAATGATGCTGCCTTCTCACAAGGAAGGAAAGCTTAGAAAAGGTCTACCCTTAAAATGTCACATCTCACCCTACCTCACGGATTTCCGTCTCCTTGGATAAGGGCTGCCCAATAAGGGGATTTTAGGAGTGGAGCTAATATTAAAAAAACGTTTGATAAAAAAGGCCGTGCGTGACAGGCCTCAAGCAGTTGTCCCTTGGTGGATTGGCGACTCGTCCCCATGATAGGGAATGTAGTTCCCGGATAGGATATGACCAGTTTTACGACGTGTTGTACATGTTCGTGTGGGTTAATTGGGTAAGGTTTATACTACCGTTAGGTCATGCCACGATAGATAGGGGAATCAAGGGCCTGATGGGAAAGTATAGGTACCTAGTTAGCACGATAGGTCATATCCATGTTGGAGGGCGGGTAGGCGTACTGCTGTAAGTCCTACACGTTATTCCGGTGTGGATTAGGGGATAACTGGGAACCCTAAATAAAGTGTCATTAACGCTTGCTCTTTTTGCATGGAGGGATTTTGCGGGCCGGTGTAGAATCCTTTTTGAATGTTTTGTTTTTTGGAAAATCCCTCCATGTTTACATATTTTTGTTATGACATGACGGACTTTTTCTGTTGACATTTTTGGTATTTTATTTGATTCCAATTTGAGATTTTATCATTGTATATTGTTATTCTTTCTATATATTTGTACTTATATTGAAGTTTTTGTGTTTGCTTCTGATCTGTATATATGTTGTTTAAATTTGATCTTTAATATGGCTGCAGCCATATTTGGATTGATGCAGTGGCCGCTGGACTTAGCGTCACTTATCTAACACTGTTTCTGATACTCTTCGGAGTAATTGTACCCTGGAAGAGGCACTGTTTCCAGGTAATGCTTTGTATTTCCATGTTTTATTTAAATAAGACGCTTTCTCCTAGAATTTATGTCCTTTTTTGATTTGGTTGGGACCCGGGACTGGGAGAATCGTACAGGAGTGCCCCTAATGGAACCCATTGGAACGGCCACTGTAGAAATTCATTTACACACAATCAATATTGATTATATACAAAAAGCTATTTATTTTCGCTTATTATGTTTCTAAAGAGAGTTGTTGAAATTGTTTGATATGGGGATTTCATAATGTGTCAAATACGTAACATTGAGTGAAGCATGTAATAATTATATCTAACCATAGAACTTGGCTTTCAAAAATTATAGTTCAGTATGCTTGTTAGGATCCAAGATGTCAGTCTTCTATGCCAGGTTGAATTTTGAATAACCACGCACTTGAAGCGACTGTTTTATCTATCCTGAATCCCTTAAGACAAAGATATCATGCAAACATATCATTCTATCTGCCCATAAATGATTTGCCAGAAGGATGTACCACACAAAATCTTTCGAAAGCAGCCGAGAAGCTGATGGAGAAGATCTAGCAAAGGTATCCTGGAAATGTTAGCCCTACTCCTTAAACGTAATAGAGTGGTAAAATCCTCCTTATGATGCCCTATATTTCGATTGATACATTCCATCCACGCGTAAGTGTCTATCTTTTTCCCCCATGACTAAATTGTGGAACCGATAAAATCATGAGGGATAAGCCACTTGTCTGGAATAGTTGTTATCTGTATGGTAGCCCAGGAAAAATAAACAAAGGCTTGGGAATTATGAAGGATAATTTGACGGAACTGGACAGAGTAGCCCTGTACTGAGTAGGCTGTATTATTCATGTCAGAGGCATAAGCTACATTGTTGGTCATAGGTTTAAGTATGTAAGAAGCACTTAACATACATCAGTAGAAACGAGAATTATATACAAAATGAGCTTGTACAACTGCTTATACATCTATCGTCCTAATTTATCGTGTAAGCAAAGTCTCCTAGACCTCATCGATCTATGCTTAACTACCTATTTCCCATTAAACAGCCGAATCTACAAACAAACAAAAGGAACACCAATGGGACCAATCATAACGGAACTAATCGCGGAAGATGTGAAACAGAGACAAGAAGCATCTATTTTACTAGTGATGAAGCTAAAATGTGGATTCAATATAAAAACGATACTCTCGACAGTAATAAAAGAAATAAGCTGGAAAACATCTACATCGGATCAACAACTTCTTTGATGACACAAAATTCACAATGCAAAAGTGATCAAACAAAGAACGACTATTCCTGGATGTACTAATCGCCAGAACAGAAACAAGAAATCTAAAGACTGAAATATTTCGACAGCCAACCCACAGACCTAGTTCTCAAATACAATAACAATAACCCAAGAACTCACAAAATCAACTGCGTACAAACGTTGTTCAAGAGAGCGAAGACACACTGAAGCGCACATGAGCGACAAAAGACGAAAATATCTGATGACTATCTTTCAAACGAACGGTTATCCATGAAACTACACCGAAAAACATCAACTGAAATCGTCAACGGAGGCGAAGCTAAGTGCAGACACCAACAAGCGGGTCATTTTACCATACATAAAAAACATCGGAAATCACAGCACGAATACTGAGGTCATTTGACAAAACCTTTTTGTATCATTTTCATCTATCTTGGTAATCAGTCTCGGTGAACTCTTGACAATTACTATATTATCGACCTGCTATATCGTTAACCTGGTATCCCTGCAGGTTATAACTGGTCTCTTTAGATTTCGGTTAATTACTGTCCCCGTACTACAGAACGATCTCTGTCTCATAGCCGATCAATATATGATATTTTCACCATATGATGCTGAATAACTTGTCCGGCTGCACTGTATCCACAGCGTCCGTCTAGTGTATAATTCAAGCGGAAAGGATGAGCAAGGATCTAGAACACCGTGTAGATAGACACCAGTGATGTGTTCAGGTGAATGAATATCATTATGTCACGAATATTCAAAGTTGGACAACGCTGTTATCTGTAACATCTTAAAGATAGAAAATATCCAGTTTAGGTGATCATATGAGCTCCAGATTTAGAGAGTCAGGAAAAGGAACCTAGGTGCGGGCCACGTGAAAACTACAGGTCATTACGGGCGTTAGATTTACGAGTGGCACTATTTATGGGTAAATAATTGAGTTAGACAGAAGTTAGTCAACCGGAAAGATTTTCAACTGTCTTCGAAATAAAGTTGTGTTGAAGTGCGTAATCTGCTTCAGCAATTTACAGATTTTCGGAAAATCAACCGGTGTGTGTCGAACCAAATACTTGGAACAGTATGAAAAGAACAGGGGTCGAGCACAAAGAAGTCAATCGGTTTACTGTAGCTCATATTGGATATTGGAATTTGTGTGCCTTCGATTTGAATGGTCTACTTTGCCTGAAAATGTTTGTGGGCTTACCATTCACCAGTTACCGAGATATTACTCCAAATTAATCTATCTTCCAAAAATAGACGTTCTCACACAATTTAAACTACGTTCGCCAAATTTTTTCCATACTGTTTTCGACTTGCTTAGGTGATGATTAAGTTTTAGTAGGTCGTAATTAATGCATGTATTGATAGTTATTAACTATTTTAAGACAACTCCCACCATTTAATATTAAAAAGTTCTATTAAGTTTAGAAATAAGATGCGTGGGCTGAGCTCATCATAGTGACACTACACTTGCATATTTATGTCTGTTACCTCCAATGGAGCATATGCCGGTCACCATAGTTAACTATATGATAGAGATCGAGTAAAGAAGTTTTAATACTGTGGGTACTAGGGCGAATGCTGGTTAAATACTGGTGTTTGGCCTACAAAAATCAGGTCTGAGGCTTCTGTTTTCTATGACATCACATTTTAATGCCGTGCAGCTGAACTATCTGTTAATTATTTATAATGGATTCATTGCACCCACTTTATATCCTCCCGTAATTAGGTTCATGCTGTCGGGTTTATGTGCTCTAAATGTCAGGAGTTAACCAGCATTAGCCCTAGTAACCAAAGTATTACAACTCCTTTACTCGATCTTTATCATATAGTTAACTAAAGTGACCTGCTTATACTCCTTTGCGGGGTAGCAGGGATAAGTAAGTAACCATAGTGGCACTCTAGTGAGTTCAGCCTACGCGCCTCTTATTTCTAAATCTCATAGAACTCTATTACGTTAAATGGTGGAAATCATCGATACATGCATCTAGTATGACCTATTAAAATTTAATTCTTACCTATATTTATATTCCATATACCTTATTCCCTATTGTTGGGCAATACAGCTTCTCAAGTTCTTAATAATGTTAGTTATCCAAAATAACTATACTTACTAGCTTGTATAACATTGA